TTGTGGCTGGCTGGCTTGGGAACTAGGGTTCAATCTGGGGAGATTTTCTGTCTGGAGGTTGTAGCTAATAAACACAACAGAACTGTATTTACATTGTCTCTTGGAACCTGACATCAGTCTCCCCAGGCTGAACCCTAGTTCCCAAGGCAGCCAGCCACAACACCGTGAATTCCTTAGGGAGTTGCCAGCCTCATCTTCTTGAACTTCCTACGCTCCCGTTTGGGGCTAAGAACACGCTTATCTCTCTGAGCCTGGCCTTCAGAAGTCCATTCCATCACACCAGTGTTGGGGTAACATCTGATAAGAATTGAGAGTTGAAGTCCAGCACTTCAGGAGGAGACAAGATTGGGGAATGTGGAAGCAGACTATGATCTTCCATCATAGCATTCCTTTGGTTCTGCCCCTCTTTTAGCATGATTACTGTTGGAAAGACACCATTGTCAGTTTGACATCAAATTCTGTCTGCTTTTTTTAGGGTGAACCCGGTAAGAAAGGTGAAGAAGGAGACAGAGGTGCCGATGTAAGGATGCAATCAGCTTTTCTGTGTCATGTCAACATCCTCTCCTTGTTCTGCTCTTTGTGATATTTATCTAGCACTGAATTCATAAGGCCATCTCAGGTTTAGGAGCCTATTCTCAGAGTTCAAAAAAGGACCAGCATTTTTAGCAAAACTTCTCGGAAGTAGGAGAAATTCTTTAATATTTCATGTCCTGGAGGACTTTCCTTGACAAGTGGTAGAGCAGTACATGTGTGTGTGTGATTTCTTTTTGTAACAGACTAAATCTGATACCACTTGTGGTAAATGAGATGGCAAAGTCAGACCACCCCAGACTGGACTGCAGTTGATGTAGCAGATTCACTTCATAAAAACGCTTCTTCACAATCACTGAAAACCAAATATAAATCTCCATCCTGAGCAAGTAATGACCCAGTGTACACCATCTTCTCTGAATTAGGTTTTGGCTTGGTTGCTTGCATCTGTTTTCAAGCCACCTCCAGATACTAATTCAGAAGTTCTAGTCTCTGTGGAAGAAATAGATGGAAAAAGGAGGGAGAATGGATGCCCTCTGCATATTAATTGCAATTCAGTTTGGGCCTCCGGTTGACCTCCTACGCCCCATTTCAGGTAGATGTTCAAAAGCTTGGCAAACAGAATGGAAATTTGCAGGAGCTTGGAAGGTGTGGGGTGCAATAGAAATCCCCAAGCACCATTATGTGGGATCAGGGTCTGGTCCTTAAATATGAAACACTGTTGTATGGTATCTCCGTATTGTTATCAGACCTTCTGGTCATTGCATGTCAAGCTCTAAATCCTATTTGCTCTCAGCTGCTCAGATCCTAACAAAATGATATGAAATGCCAAATGTTATTAAATATAAATATCAAGTGAGAAATAGGATTGGAATATTAAGGTTGACTGGGAAGAGTCAGCCTTCACCTGAAGTTCTGACAGTCAAAGATGAATCCAGTTCCTTAATGGGTAGGCACAGCCTATCAAGTAAGCCTTTCTCTATCCTTGTCCTAGCCACAGACAAACAAGCAGCAACTCTGGTTGGTTATGAGCCATCATTTAAATTTCTCCAGTCCTGCACAACAGCCATAAATGGATATTTCAGAGTGGTGTGTGAAATTTGAAGTGGCAGCTTGTAATCAACCTGTGGTGGAAGCTTAGGGAAAGCATCAACAATGGCAAAACACTTCCTTGTAGAAGAAAGATAACATGTCAAGATTGTCGTCTATCCTTCTTCCTATGCTGATTTTTCAAACAACGTGTGTCTCTGTGTGTGCGGGCGTGTGTGTAGGTCTAGGTGAATCCAGCCATAGAGCATCAGCCATTTTGAAACAATGCAGCCAGTCTATAAAAGGCTTGGATGAGTTGTTGAAATACTTAGTTTGCTTAAAAAAAAGTAAAAGGGGAACTGAGTTTGACAGCATACACAAATTTCTTGTCTCTCCCTCACCTTTTCTCTCCTCTGTAGGGTGAAGGGGTCCAACAACTGCGAGAGGCCTTGAAGATTTTAGCTGAGAGAGTGCTAATTTTAGAACATATGATAGGGATCCATGGTGAGTGCCTGCAAACCTGGATTTCCTTCAAGGGACCCGTTTGCCTTACATGACAGGCCTCCTTGGAGGGGCCGCGTGAAGGGTAGTTTGCCGCAAGCCCAGTTTAAAGTCCATCAGAAGGGAGAGTTAATCGTTGTCTATTCAGAACCACACTCCCTGGACATTTGACCATACAGCTCAGCTACCCAGTTTCTCCTTTTATGCGACGATGGGTTGCATTTCTGCCTAAATTTTAAAATGGATTTCTACACTTGTACCTGCATATTGAAATGAGCAGGTACAAATTTTAAGCAAAACCATGCCGTGTTCCCTTTTTGGGTGATGTTTTCTCATTTTTGGAAAGCAAACCCTAACCCCTTACTTTTTGGCTGAGTGTGGCAGTACAGCAGGAGTGGCCAAATGCCCAGAACACCATTCATTTATGATTTTTTTAGGTTTCTATCCTGCCTGTGTTTTGTGCAACACAAGGTGGCATACATAATGTTCCCTCCTCTTATTTTCCCCACAACAACACCACCCCTGTGAGGTAGGCTGGGCTGAGAGAGAATGACTGGCCCAAAATCACTGACTGGAACTCATGGTCTCCCAGTTTCTAGTGCAGCACTTTGACCACTACCCCAAACCGGCTTTTGATTACTTTGATAGCAGTTGATTATTTATAATATACTGCCATTGATTTCTCTGTTTCTCAGGCAGCCAAAGCTTTCAGACATCTCTCTGTCCAGGGGGACGAGGGTCCTCCATGGCCAGGGCGTTCCCCTCCGCCCCCTCCCTGTCTTTTAAACAACCCACCCGTCCCGGTTTCCTTTGTTTTCAGATTCTTTGTCTTCCGTTGAAGCAGGCTCAGGACAAGACGTGATCCTGGGCGCCCCGATCCGAGCAAACACGAAAAACAAGCGACACCATTCGAACCAGATCCTTTCTTCACTTCTGGATGACAGCAAACCCAGGGCGAAAAGTGACCGAAGGCAATAAAACTTTAGTAAGGTCCCTGTTCTCCTCTCCCTTTCACTTGTGCAAGCTCGTGCAAATGTGTGCGGAAGTATTGCTGAAAGATGGTCTCTTGTATAGGTCTTCCAGTCCAGCAACGGCTTTGGTACCACCTTGGCTGTCCACAGTGTCTTTCAAAGAGTAATCATTTGTTGGGAATTTGAGAAAGTTCTGATTCACCCACTTTCTACTGACAAAAATCAGAAGGAGTTTGGTGGCTCCTTTTCTAACTAACACGTTTTATTAAAAGGCATAAGCTTTTGTGAATTGGTGATTTTTTTGGCTACCATAGACTAACATGGCTCTTTTCCTACAATGTCCATTTTCCACTCTGTGTGTGAGCACAAGAAAAGGACTGACTTGGAGAATGGGTTTGACTGAAATTTAATTTGTTTAAATCTCTAAAGTAGATTTACCCTCAGTGGGTAGATGCTGCTTTTATTTATTACATATCTAAATAATTTATGCCTCACCCCTCAGCCTGAAAAGCTCCAGAACAGCCTACATAGTAATAAAAACCAGACAATTCTTACATTTGGTCTTACAAATGAAAAATGAGATGACCCAGAAGAAGAAACAGAAGAGGTGAGAAAAGGAAAACAAAGTAATTCAAGCATGAATTAATATACCTCACTTAAAAAAAAAAAATTAAAAGTGATTGACAAAAAACACTATTGTTTCCCCATTTGTCCATCACACATAGAAGCCTTTCTCACCCTGGCACCTCCCAGCATGTTCCCCAGCCAAGAATAGTGGTGGGTGGGAATTGTCGTTCCACCTAGCTAGGAGGCACCAGGTTAGGAAAGGCTACCATACAGTAGAGCTCACACAGCTGAGTAGTAGCCAGAAGCATTTAACTATCTTCTTTGGGGGAACTGCCATTTTGTAATCCCTATTCCCTCTGAAATAATCCTACATATCAGCATTGTCTGCAGCAGTGAGTTAAAATCAGGAAGATGGCCCTAAGGGTGGGGCTTGCGTCATGATGTCCATCTGCCATCTTGCTGATTCTGACACACCTTCACCCCCACCCACCTACAGATGCTGCTGCTACGTATTGATGAAGCACAATTTCTGAGACAATGAGACGAGGCTGGCACCACTATGAGCCTCAGGGAATCTACATGCAGTAGAAAGTCCATCTGGTATCCATTCTACAGCTTGTTAATTGAAGTCCTTCCAGCATCTGAACCTTTCCAGGATTCCTTTTGGGGTAGTTTTCTGCATAATGGTTTGGGTTGTTTTACTTTTTTTTAAAAATCTGTAAAGCAGGGGTGCAGATCTTTTTCTAAGTCAAGGACTGTCCTTGGCTTCTGAGGGACAGATTGGGCACTGCCCTCTAAAAGAGAGTGGGTGCTACTGGAAGAAAGGTCAAACTTGGTTTTGTTTACATTACATTAAAATTAAATAGAGTTTAAAAGAGTACCTTCTGGTCATTCATTTAATAAAGACATGAAATTTAATTGTGTCCTCCTCTTATCACAGCAGCATCCATGGGAGGTCCAAAAGCCAACATGGCAGATGGCGTGTTGCAATGCAAGTCCTACCCTTCGTACATGCATGTAACATCAGCACACGTCCAAAGAGGTGGGGGCTTGCATCACAAGGCTGCATTTGCCTCCTTGCCTGTATTTGACACCTCCCTGCTGATGCCACCCCTATTGATGCCAGTGTTTTGTCATTCTGAAAATTACAAATTGGTAACAACTTCTGGAAGCCTCTAGGCTCTGGGGGCGCTGTGTGGCATTGGTGTATCAGGATGTGCCCTTGGGCCCTAAAGAAATGAGGTGTCCATATTTTGGTTTATCATGAACCCACACAATATCCAATCACAGAAAATGGGGCATTGGAGAAATTGAGTTGAATGCCCACTTAGAAAAGAGTATCCTGGATTGGGAGTGAGTAAGAAGATGAGAGCTTGAAGCCCTGAGTTTGAGGTGGCCTACTTGGAAAAAGGCCATTCAGCAGCTACAATAAGCTATTGTTATTCATGTGTTTTCCCAGCTAAAGAATATAATAATGGTGGTTTTTTTCCATTGGTAGGTCCAACAGTGAAGGCTTGAAGAGACTTACCCCTGTTTACTCCTGTTGGGAAGTCCTGCAGGTCAGGAGGATGGAGCGCATGTCCAATTGGAATATGTTCCTTGAACTTTCCATGATCGTTTAAAAATATCCTTCACATTTTACACACGTGCTATTTCTGTTCTTGATTTGGCATCCATCTCAGGTGATTACAATAACATCCTGATCCCAAGAAGTCTCATGTGATAAAGACACCAACATTTTAGAGGTGTCTGCAAAACCAGTGGTGTAACCTGTCTGCCATGGAACCAGTGCTGCATTCTAGAGTATTCTCGGAATAACATTCTAGAGCACACCCCCAATCCATGAAGAAGAATTCTGAATGTGCTTGTTGGGCCTATCATTGCTTTGCATGAATGGAGAACGTATTGCAGAAAACACCCCAAGTTCATATTGCAAGGAAGGGGGGACAGTTAATAGAAGTAAGCTGTAGTTAATGATCACTTCAAGACTGTTACTGACCTTCCAATTGTAGAACCCACGTTAAGCATTCAAGAAACCTCAATTACTCAGCTGAACTCAGTCTGAAAACCATTATTCTATATAAATCTTCCTGTTATCCCAATTTGTAGCACCTAGCCAGATTTGACTGACCTTGAGAAGCTAAACGGGATTGGAGCTGGTTAGCACTTAGATGGAAGATCACCAGAAAAATCTGAGGGCTGTAGACTTTCTTGAGAAGTCAAAGAAGCAACTGAGAAGAAGGCAGGCTTACCCCCTTAACAAGTGCTGCAAGAATATTATATGGATGTGGCCCATATAGTCACTTGGAGCCAAGCTCTAGGGAATGTATGTACATTCCCTTTATCCTTCCCCAAATCCAACTAGATTTATGAATACTGAGTAACTTTATTGTGATTGATAATCCAAAATTAAGGTCTATCAAGCCAGTAACATTCTCATTTTGCCAGAGTTTACCATCTGTTGTTCTGCCGTGCCTAAATTCCTACCCATAAGATGATTTCTAGGTTCCCGCTCCTTATTATTTCACTTTTTACTAAAGTTCATTTGGACTAGTAGCAATATGATTGCCAGTTATTGAGATTATATATATAGTTTGACAATGCTCCTATAACCTTCATAACTGAACAAATACATGAAATTCCTCAGGCAAAGCTTTTTCCAGCTCCAATGTGGAGGATGCCTCGCCAATTGGATTTCAGTTCACCCCAAGAGGTGTCAAAAGCAGAGACACAGAATAGTGTGGCACTCCTACCATGCAAGGAAAAAATAATGAAGAATCTCATGGCATCTTAAATATTGGCAAATTTATTATCACATATGCTTCTGTATATCTCAGTCTGCTTCATTAGATGTGATCAGATTGTGATGAACAAAAGTTTATATGACAATACATTTGCTAAGTTGCCACTAGACATTTGGGGTTTTTTGTTACACAAGGCTAACATCATAGCTATCCTTCTGAAATTGCAATATGTAGAGTTTTGCCTATATTCTCAGCCATTAATCATACATTCCTAGCCTAAATTTTTCATCCATGACATCTGAAAAGTTTGTGAAATCTCAAGAAGATGCAACTCCATGTTCTGCCTTTGTGCAGAATTACTCAAAGCTTTGCTTGCTTCTATTAGGAAGGGCAGCTGAGGTTGTTTTAAAGCTTTCCAGAACATAAGTAGAATTCACATAATCTCTTGCAGCCATACAAATGGTTTACTAAATTGTATGGAGGACATTCCTCAGTTCACTTACCAAAATTGAAATTCTTGCAACACAACTCAATGCAGTTTATTTACTTTAAAAAAGTGTTTGATTATCAACCTACAACTTGTTATATGATTGTCTTTGAGCAATGGAAGGGCCTGTTTTAATTAACAAGGATGAAAATTAAAGCATACTTGATCTTTTTCAATGCAACTTTGTTTAAGGTATATTATCATGGAAAATGAGAAAGAAAATAATTTTTATAAATATAGCTGAAGGCTGTTTCAAGGTACCGTTCCTCTGTATCCTCTTTACTGAATCTTGTTTAATGCTTTGAAAGCTATTAAAAGTTACATTTCTTTCACTCTCTTACAAGGGCCCCTATCTTGAAGTTTGGGAAAATGTAATCTGAAGAATTCTGCTGAATAGTTTATTCCTCTGTTAATTAGCTATAAAGCAAAAGAGATTAAACAGCTAGAAATTATGTAGTTTTATAATTGATTGCAGATGATCCTTTAAGTCATGTATAATTTGTACATCTATAGTTTTTGATGGTCAGAGGTCTTGTATATTACAAAAGTGAAAGCATTTTGATAGGATCTACATTGCTCAGCCAGGCCATTCCTTCCTTTTCCACTGCAAAATGAGATTATGGATCTGTAAAAGAGATGTGTTATGACTTCCTGGAGGATAATGGCTAGGTGTAATTTGCAGAAATGTGGCAGACAGAAGTCAAGCACTTAACCCTTCTTCAAGGGTTAACTCCCTTATCTCCATCCCCCACCATTTTTCTTCCCTACTGAGTTTCATATGTTTGAGTCTACCATATGACAGGAAGGAGTGAGTGGGTGGGTGGAAAGGAAAAACCCATCGGGCCAGGGGATAGTTACCTACCCGTCCGTCTGTCTTTCTGCTGCGTTGCAAATCGTGTCTCCCTTCTCCCTCCACTATCCCTGTGGAAGACAGAAGCAGTAGCTGGAATTTTCGGAGCTGTGATTGGGAACAAATGCAGGGGCTACTGTTATTTCTCAGAACAATATTAAAGTGCTTTCATCCAGCCTTTAAGGAGGTAGAAAAGTATGCTGGCATACTTGGCCCTGCCCTCACTGCAGATCAGTGTTTTGCCTTGATAAGGGTGTGATGCTGTCCTTACTGATTTAATACAGGACAAGTTAAAGAAAGCGAATGGTGGGTTCCCTTGGCCTTGTTTGCTCTCCCACCAAATGTTACCAGCCAAAGGGATAAAGATCTACCAGTCATCCTCTTTAGCACGGGCTGGGGCTGGAGAGTAAGCAAGATTTGACAGATAACTAGAATGGTGGGTTTAGCCATCTATTAGAACACATTGCTCCCTTTTCAGCAATAGACGGGCATGTTCAAAAGGAGCCCAATTATCAGCTGGATATGTTTTTATATTATCCTGGAAGAGCATTCTTCCAAAAACAATGCTAGAATAGCATTATTCTGGCATGGCTACTCCAGAATTGTATTATTTTAGAACAGCACAATAATCTGTGCAAAACATGTTCTTCCTCCCCATCCCAAATTCTGTTCCCAAGCCTGGGATCCAAAGAAACATTTCAAAGCATAAGCCCCTTTGAATTTCAGGAAGGATGGTTTCAGCAATCGAAAGTTACCCCAGGGTGCAGAATTGCAAAATGAGCAGGAAGCATGCATATGCACACACCTCTCTCTCACTCTCTTTTACAAACAGGTCTGCTCTTTCAGAAAAGCAGTACACATGTGTTCATAAGAGCCCACATAACATCTGGCAAGTGTGTCATAAAGCTCCAGTCAGGCACTAAGTGAGCACATCCCTTTGCAGAAGCCAGGTGTGTCTAGCAGCCAAGCCAAAATGGCCACAGGAGGCAATACTCAGTGGCCAGAGAGGAGACAGTGTGTCTGTAGGAGTCTAAAGTAGTCAAAGGAAGCTGGTCAGATCCTGGCCCTTGATGGCATAATCCCCAACATTGTGAACGAGGCATTGCAGATTGTTTGTATGGCAAGGCTTGCTTTACATTACTTAGGACTGGAACAGCTAAAGATGAATTAAAGTTGCTGGGGATGAAGCCAAGATAACATTATGAAGATATGTCCTTCAGCAAGGCATCTTTGTTCCATGGTTAGTGGGACCTGAGAATGAGCCCTTGGAAGCACCCCTCAACCCCACCCCATTTCCTCTTTACAGGATGATCAAATGATCCACAGTTTGTGATGGCTGTGAATAAAAGAATGCAAAAGGTGCTATCAAAATCCACAAAGAACATTTTAAGCAGACATTTGAATTCGGTATGTTAGTTAAGACGGTATATATTATATAAATATATATTTGAAATATTAAATCTATCTATTTAATTTATATCCATGTGTTATGAGCGTTTGAAAATGTCCCAGCTTCTTCTGAGCTCCTTACTCATTTATCTGGTCTCTTCCAAAGGGATGATGCTGATATGAATAAAGTTTCTGTCAGATCTTGTGAAGTTCACTGATTTATCAGGTTGTAAAGTGGCGGGTCCTGACCAGCAACTAGATTTCAGGCAAGCTACTTTGAAGAGGAGTGGAAGCCTGATTTCAACATTTTGACACTTCTTCCTCCTGTGAGCTGTCTCAAAACCTTGTTTCACCAGGGTTACTTGCTGCAAATTTTGCTTTAAGCCCTGGACACGGTCACTACATATGGGAACGGAGAGGTGATTTGGAACCCTTATTTGGCCCAGAGATTTCCAGATGCTAATCCTGAATGGAATACATAGGGAACATCTACCTAACCTTCTCTGCAGCTTTTGTATTGTTACTCTTCAGGTTCATAAATTTTTATTGAATTGCATCTACTTCTTTTCCTGTTTACTATAGGTTTCATTACTGTATATGGAATGTTTTGTACTCTGCTTTTTGGGTGTTTCGGGTTTTTTCCCCTCTACAGAACAGTGGGGACAATATTAAAGAGCCCGCAGATACCAAAGACGTACTTATTTAATGCACTGACAAATAAAACATTCTGTATGTGAAAACAATCTCCTGTCTTTAAAATTGACATCCTGACCTGTCCTTCTTTCTGGCCACATTTGGGGTCCCAAAATAAAATTGGAGAAAACGTCTGCCTTTGGGAGTGATCTTACTCCAAATATTTGACTTTCTTCCCGAAAGAATAAAAGAAGCTGTAAAGAAACTTGGAGGATTCAAATGCCTCAGAATAAGGCCAGGAGTGGTGTTTTCTCTCTCGCTCATACATTTTCTGTTGGCTTCTGCATGATGTGCTGCTCACTGCACTCCAAAATTAGAATTAAAAGACCCCCCCCCCAAAAAGTGAATTTGTATTTAAATCAAACCAACTACACAGAGTTAGCATTATTATTCCCTATATGTTTTATATGAG